CCCATTTCGTTTTATTATTTCCGATCCGACACTTATTTGCAATTCAAGATGGCCGAGCCCTTATGGTTGCCGCCGGAGAGATTCGTACGGTGCGATAAAAAAAAGAGAGAGGAACAATAAAGGGGCGCCTTCTCTGGCGGCCAATCGTGACCCGGCCTGATCATATCGTGCTTAATTTATTATTTTACGCGTTGCGCACGTGTGTGCAGCCTGTACACACGACCACTAGCCTTCGAATTCGAGTAAACTGGCGAGCACAGGATTATTTGACAAACGTCAGAGTCTCCTATCGGTCTCAGGAATTGTCTGATATTAAATATTATATAAGACCGCGATACTGGGAAGCAATTCGGCTGTGAAAATCGCGAGCCCGTGGGGTCGAAGACCGGCGACGAGAGGGGAAAAAATAACGCAGGCGTTTTTCGTCGCGTACGAGGGGATAGAGAAACAGGGGGTGCGCGCGGTAACCAATGGGATCGAACTGGGCCAGCCAAGAAAAATCTTCGAGAGGGAAAGAAGTGCAAGAAAGACTGGAAAAGCTCATTCGATCCTTCCACGTTTGTTCAAGCGTCGCGGGAATTCTTATCAACGCGTGCAGCTGTGCTCAGATCTTTTTTTTTTCATACGAATTCAAAAGCGATTCTGTATCTAAAGTTGCCGTCTAATTTTGAAAATTGTGAAAGATGGGTAAACTGGAGTGTCGATTATTCGAGTTATTTATCTCGCATAAAGTATGGCACAGTATAGGTGTCTATGGGAATCCAAGAGCTGGGGTGATGTAGAAATGAAAAATGTACAAACTGAACCTTGTGTTTTAAACGGAGCTCGCTCGGGTGTGTGGGTGCGGGGGTAGAAAAACCTACCCCAACGGGGTTGGGTAGCGCGCTCGCAACGGGTGGGCAAAAGGGAGAAATAAGAAAAGCTGGAGCCACGGCGGAGGAGACGACGACGACGAGGACGACGGGATATCTGGGTCGAGACTCGTCGTCGCCGACGTTCCGGCGCCAGGCGTCCTTTACTCTGGCTTTTTTTCGGCAACGATGCGCCCAGAAAAACGACCGAGAGGGAGAAGTACTGCCGCGAGCTCTCCGTTGTTTCGCGGTCTTCTACCTTTTTCTCTTACCACCCTCCAAGAATTCATCGCGACGGGGTGGAAAGATGGCAACTCAAATGGTTCCTTGGTGATGATTTCGTTGATACCGTCTCAAAAAATTCTTTTCTAACTTTTTCAACGAGTACTTTTAACGAAAATAGATCATCGCCTGTGATTATTGCGATAAATATTTACTTAGAATGGGAAGTTACTATTTATTAAGAAATTTCAATTACATTTTTCACAAAACAAAATAATGGATTTACTGGTGACTCGAAAATCAACTCTTAAAAATTGTATTTCGTCCGCAGACACTCGAGAAAGTCTGGACACGGTCTAAACAATTTAAGGAGAACGGGGATTGAATTTTCCAAGGTGTGGTGCACGACGAAACAGTATCCTCGGGTCTTTGCGCGAAAGTTAGAAGTTAGTTACACAGGGGTGGCCACCCCTGATCTGCATATCCGCACTCTGCCGCCCCCGGTGAACCACCGGTCCACCCCTGCTACCCCGTCGTTCCCCGATGCTTTCCAACCCCTCCTCGTTGCTGGCTGTAACCAACGTGCCGCCGCCACAAGCTGCTCAACAAGTGGTTCTTCAGTTTAGCAGCCGACTTAGCGCTTCTTTAATTTTCACCTCGCGCCCCTCCGGCTTTCTTCTGAATGCTCTCGGATTCCGCGTCTTATCGGTGTCTGCCACTTCTCCTAGTAGATGGCCCGTTGCCACGGATGATTACCCTGTAACAAATCGGACCTTGAGGAGATCTCGTGAGAAACTTACCGGCAGAAAATATCTGAACTTTGACTTCTTTTACAACGGGCACCGTTGTAATAAAATTCTCTAGTTCTCTGGTTTCTGACGGAACGATCCGTAACCCAAGAGAACTCTTCCGCTCCACCCTGAAAAACCAAAACACAAACAATCATTGGCAAAGGAAAAAAAAGAAATAAAGGCTCGAGAAGAGATGAAAGGACGTGCTCCCATCGAGCTACTTAAGCGAGCAGTAGGAGAAAGGAGAAAGGGGTGGAATCCGGAGTGTGAACGTATCTACATCTGAATGGTACAATGGTAATTTGGGGATGCACCGTTAGAGGATATTAGCGGTATAGCCGTCCCGTTTCCCGATCCCCGGTTCCCGTTGGACTTTTATGTAACCACGTGAAACAGCATCCTCGGAACGCCGCGAGAGTCACGTTCCTTCTGGCCACTCCTTCCCTCCCGTTTTCACGCGCGGCTCTGTATACGTGCGTGCGGAAGCGTGGTGGCCTCAAAAGCTGATACCACTCGAGAGGATGCACGGTATTACCTGCTCATGTGACCCATCTGTTATTCACCAGGCTCCGTGCACATGTTCGGAAGAATGGGTTACCGGTACGGGTGCATATATTAGAGCTCTGGATCTGATCCGAACGCTTTATACCGATTGATAGCGATATAACAAGTGGAGGATTTCGCGGTGGATCGCGTCTCAGGAGCAAGTCGTAAGAATGCGGCTCGTTTCTCTCTCAGTGAGAGTCGCTTGTTATTCCTGCGGCGAAGGTGGATAGGGAAGATTCGATAGGCTCGATGTCGTTTCCTTAATCTGGTTTTCGAACGAATAATTATATTCTAATGGACGGGATTCGAGTCGATTCGTCCGCGTGAGAATATCGACGATCTCGAATAGTCACGTCAAATTGGATTCCTTAAAAATTGTCATTCAGCCTCGGATCCTCTAAAAAGTGAGGGGAATTTTCAATTCGCCGGTAGAGAGCCATGGAACGGAAACGCATCCGTTCCGCGTTCTTCTCGCAACGATGCCATTTATCACTTAAATCGCGCCCGAAGAGAAACGATGATTTCCGTCCCGCTAGGCGTATTACTTTTACATTCGGAACGTATACGTACGGGTCCCGGCCTCCATTATCGGAGGCCATCGTTTAAACTGCGTCTCGTTACCGCCACCAATAAAGCATCCGCCTCCGGGCAAACAAACAAACAATCATCTTCAACCCGTGAAGAAAGCGACGCGCTGGTTCGATCACCGTCGCTAAAACTGGAACGTCTGTTGTTCCTCCTACCGACATAAACCGTGCACCGCGATTTTATTTACCAAGGTAGTCATAATGTTTTATAGATACGTTTGCGAGAACCGAATTTAAAAAGACAGTCGAGGTATAATGGGTAGATCGAGAATGTACGAGGAGCTCGGGTGCTAAAAGGGGAACGTCGCTTTTGAAATTTCGCCGAGCTACCGATTCGTAAAGCGTAATCGAATCGAGAAAGGTTTAAAGGAGCGACTGATCAAAGGGATGGGAGGATAGCGCGGCGGCAAGTCGGATGCCGTCGTGACACAGATACTTTATTAGAGCGAAACAAAAGAAAAGAGCCGGGCGGAGCGGCGCGCGGTGTGGTGTGGCGCGGTGCGGCGTGGACCTGGGTTAAGTCGCGAGGGTTAATTTATTTACGGAATGTAGCAAAGTCTTTCGAACTGGTGGCCATATTGGTTTCGACGTGCCCGTCAAGGTATTCCCCCCTTTCTCGATCTCCTCCACCCCCAGCCCCACTTTTCTTGCCGGGGAGAAACACACGTGAGCGAAACCATCGCACACGAAAAGGGGAAAACGCGATGTGTGTTCGGCTCGCCCAGTCACGGCGCACGCTGCACTGCGCACGACCCCTACTCGGTCCCCATCCCACCTACCCGGTCGACCCCCCGTTCTGCACCCCCGACGACCCCTTTGGCTGTTCGTGCAACCCGCCATGCAACCCCCTACGAAGCGACTCTTATTATTTCCATTTTTCCAATTCGGCTCGGGGGGCGGGAAGCGTGCAACACCCTCCCCTCGATTCTCCGTACACCCTCTACAGCCCAGTTCTCTACCACCTACCCAGCACGCTCCCACCTCGTCGACCACCCCGTCTCTCACTTCTCCGCTCCTCTCCTCTCTTCAGGTGGCTGGCCAAAGGAAAAATATCTATATTTATCTGTTTCTTCGCGGGATACGTGCTCTCCCCGTTCCTCTCGCTATCTCCGTCTCTCGCTCGACTCGCTCCTTTTTCTTCGTTTCTCCTCCACCTCCACCTTGGAGTTTCTCGGACTCTCCCACCCTTTTCTCGATCTTTCCGTCTATCCAACGATCCTGCGTCCCGCTCCGGCGCGTTCTTTCTTCGTTTCGAGCTTCTCCTTACCTCCGTCCAACCACCCCCTTCCTGCGACGTGTTGCGGCGGGAGGGACGGGACAGATACGATGGCGCGAGAGAGACGGGCCGAAAGGAGACAGGGTGGTTGAAGCGAGAGGCGCGGAAAGCGAAAGACGGAGGGCACCACGACGACGACGACGACGACGACGTCGACGACGACGCCGGGCGGCCGCGGCGAAGCGTGCGCGCCTTTCCTTGGCCGGCGGTGCGACGAAGAGGGTGCGTAACGATGAAGAAGGACGGGAAACAGCGGCAGAAAACGGTGCAACGAAGAAGAAGCGACGGAGAGAGAAGGAACGGCGAGCTTCCGCTTCCTTATGCTCCGCCGCGGACTGCATCAACCAGTCGCGCGGTCGCGCTCACATAAGAAACTGGGATTCGAGAAGCACAACCCCCTTCTCGCGAGACGCGACGCGCGAGCGATTTCCGTACGTGAAGAGAACGAATTCTCGTTGTCCGGTGTCTCGCGTCGCTCGGCCCTCACCGGCGTGCAAAAAAATATCGGTGATCAACCCCTCGCGGGGCGTGCGGCGACACCGAGTTAATTGACTCGACGACGCTCGGATCGCGACTAACCGACCATCTACCCCCACTATCCCGCGGTCACGCGCCACGAGACGGTTCGAGCGTGCACGAGAAGGCACGAGCGGTCGTAAGGCCCGTCGGATCGGGTCCCGTCGCGTTCAGACGGCCGTCCTCGCCGGTCGTTGGGCCCGCGATCGACCAATCGCGCGCACCGTCCCTGGACATGAAGAAGGGAGACCGTCGGGCCTCCCGGAGGACCCAGCAAACGACGGAAGAAGAGGACACGTCCGGCGAAGAAGGAACGGTCCCGATGGATGCCTGAAGATGTTCCTCGTTGCGAGCAAAACACGAGGATGTTCCTCGACCCGTCTCCTTTCCCTCTTCTCTCTCCGCTTCTTCTTCTACTCATCGCGCTTCCTCGTCTCCTACCTGGCGACGGACGAGTCCGTCCAGGCGGAGGAGGATCTCCAAGGGACGAGTCCTCGGTGAAGTCGTCGCGTTAACGGCAACCGGGGTGTCCGATGACGGTGTGTCGCACGACAAAGAGGAGGGTGCGTACGACAGAACGCGAGAGAGAGACCGCGCGAAGATAAGACAAATGGCCAACCGGAGAGAGGCAGCAACGTTCAACCAAAGTTCCTATTTTTCATGTGTTTTACGCGATACTCGCTTAACAAAGTAGGACGTAAGAAGAGAAAAAGGGGAGATAAAGAGGAATTCCCGGCCACCGAGGGGTGTTCGGTATAGGTGTTGTTTCCCGAGGAGCGTGTGTCGCACGCCGGAAACCTCGTGTACGCGGCACCCGGGACACCCTCCCGCGCTGATTAGCCAGCCAATTAGAAAGACCGCGGCCATGCGTAATGAGCTGCGCGCGCAAAAGTTCCTAAAACGCCACGATGCAATGTTTTTTCATGCGGATGCCTCGTCACGCCGGCCTGCTCGCCACGAGCGACCACTGATAATATTGATAAGACGTAAACGCTAAGGTAGAAGTAAAAACGAAGTTAGCCAAAGAGTGTAGAGCCGCCTGGGATCGAGCTTCTTCCTCCCGCGACGTTAAGAGACCTCGATGATCGTCAGGATAATTAACGCACACTGTGTCTCCCAGCGTCCAGTTCCTTCGCCAGGCAATAAAACACGCGTATATTCGAATTTAAGAGGACATCTGGGTGGCTGTGCTGCGACGGACAGAGTGCTCATCCTTGGTGAGGTTGCTTCCTCCCTGTCCACGATCGGATCTCGATCAGCAACGCGCGGCTCTCGTTTCTAACTCGTCTGAGAACGTCCAGGACGTTCCGAGTCGCCACGTGGCCACTCTCCTTCGAAGCAATCCTTGAAACCGTAACGCGGCAGTGTGTCGACGGTATTTTCAAGACCTCGAAACGACTTCTCACGCGTAAACGACTTCTTGACTAAAGTACATAGATAGTAGCCCTAAGCGAAGAAGAGCAAATCTATATATATATATATATATACATCTATATTATATATACACACTTGGAAAGCGTATTTAATTATATATTCCTATACACGCAAGGAGCACATGTACAGGTATTTTAATAAGCCCGCGTATAACTAGTCTCTCTCTATATAAACGTGTACATACGTGTTCTGAACGAAAAGTCCAAGCACGATTTTCGAACGCAAAGATCCGTATTTTTTATGAACTCGACGAACGAGGGGACAATAGGAGAGTGAGAGAAAGAGGAAATAATAAAATGTCCACGATGAGTGTCGTGTCGAATTCGTCGGTCGAGGTCGACTCGGACTCCTCGAACGATATTTCCGCAAAGAGCGAAGGACTCGCCGAACAGAAGTTCATTCTGCGAAACGAACTGTACAACAGCCTGCTGGCAAGCGCACTCGGCAAGACAGTGCTCAACAGGCATCTGAACTTCAAGGAGCAGGGGATTAATTTTAATCTGGCCAATCTAAAGGATAACCTGAACGCGCTCGGCGCCCTTAAGGAGCTGAAAGATCTCAAGGGATTGACCGTCAGCAGCGTGCCTGCTTTCCCGAGGAACCTCGCTCTGCACAGGGAGGACCACGACGAGGTCAGATTCGTTACGTGTTCAGTGGCTCAACATCAAATTTTAAAAAATCAAACTGATGCCTAGTTAGAGCCATTTTCTTTACTTCGCACTTTTTTCTGATTTCCTCTGAGTCGTCGTGACAGATCATGATTGATATCTATCTATTCTTCAATGCTCTTTTAATTACGAACTCCAACTGTCGATAGCAGTAAGCACACCCTGTTAGCTCCTAAAGCCACAGCACCGAGATCAATAAACCCCAAAAAATTTCACGACCTACACTTTCCCACGCGATTCAAGTCGTTCCTCGAGGATGCACGAAAACAAGTTCACAAATTCTGCCAGGTTCGAAAGGGAATACTTTCGGATGAATCGACTTATCACCGTGGCAGAGAGATTTTCGAGTGTCACAAAATTCAAAACAATTCTTTCGGAACGAATGAATCAGGCAAAAGGGTAGTTTACAAGACACTTGGCGCGTCGAGGAAGCAGTTCCGGAGTTAAAAGTTGTACATAAGTCGCCGGTTAAAAAGTTAGCGGGTGCTTAAGGTGGGACGCGATTCCGTGTAATGGACGAGAAAAACAAGAAGGTTTGCGAATGCAAGTAAAGAAGAGATTTCGTTGCCGCGAACAAAATCCTGTTTACCTGAGAATTGCTTTTGTTTTGCCGTTGATTCGGCATCGGAATTCTGCACCTCATCCTTTGCATTTTCTCGATCTCCTCAAAGAATCTTTCATAGTATCATTTAAGGATGTATAGGCTATGTACTTAAACAAAGCTAATATTCTCAAGACCTATGAAATGCCGATTAATCATAGTTAACTCGCTAAATATCGAAATTAGAAGACAAACAACTTATATTTAAAGCATTCTTCGCTATTTTGAGAAAAAAAAATTTTTTCATTTTTCCGAGATTTTTCTAAGGGGTACCCCTTCAATTTCTTCCAAATTTTCGTTTTTTGCCAATAACTTCTAAACCGTTGGAGATACGGGAAAATGGCATAGGACCTTTCTTGTAGAGGACGACGAGATCTACAATTTCCATGTGAAAATTTTTCGTTAGCCTCAATAGTTAACGAGTAATTTGCAAAAAACGGTTTTTTCGTTTTTCGTCAATAACTCGTAAACTATTAATGCTAGCGACAAACTTTTATACGGAAATTGTAGATCTCATCGTCCTCTACAAGAAAGGTCGTATACAATTTTCCCATAGATTCAACCGTTTAGGAGTAATTAAGGGAAAATGAAATTTTTTGCGAAAAGTTCGCCGTTTCGATGCTGGGATGGTCGGATTTTGTCAACATCAATAAAATGCCAAATAATCATACGTAACTTGTTAAGTATCGAAGTTAGAAGACAAACAACTTGTATTTGAAGCATTTTTTAAAATTCTGAGGAAAAAAAATTCGGTTTTCTAAAATACATAAACTTTTGGGATTTACTGTATAGCCAATACATCCTTAAGTATTATTTGCTTTAAAAATTAATATGTTTTGGAGTTTGTTACACCCCACATGTAGAAGGATAAGCTGAACGTGTACACAACGACGTTTATCGTCAAATATAAAGAAAGGGTTAAGTCGTTACGCTCGGGATTTTCTTGGAAGAGAATAAAAATTTTCCGCGCGTCGATTCATTAATTTCTCGCAGCGGCCGCAACCCTCTTTGTCGACTTCCTGTTGCTTCCTTTTGCGCCTGGCCGAGTTATCGCCGCCAGGCAACTTTTCTTGGCACGTTCGCGGTTTTGGCTCGGTTCGGTTGACTCCACGACAAACTCTTGACCCAAATTCGCTTACGCACTTTTCCCCAGTTTTTTCCCTCGAACGACGCCAAAGCGTCGTGTCTTTTAGAACGCTATCCGAATTACATCTACGATTGCATGTTCCACGTTTCGTTTCCCGTCCCATCAAAAATTACATAGCTTTCACACGAGGTTCCGAATGTTCAAGCAAACTAGAAATCACGTTCCCCTCACTTCTCAGAAATGAAGCTCTAAAAGTAATTTATTTAAGATCTGAATATATTACTTTCGAAACCCACGATAGTGAACAAGTGGTAAAATTTTATTCACTGTTCCTCCGCCAATATCGCTTTGCAAGGATTTAAGTCCACCTCTGAATCGATTCCCTTTGAATGAAATCGGGCGGCCGAGCTTTTGTCAGATGCGGGCATAGGAAAAGAAGAGAAACGTCGACACACGGAACGTGTAATTAAATGTGGCGCAATAATGAAACGCATCATCCCCCCGGTCGAAGAAATAACAGCCCTTCGGGGTGCCTGGGGGATGGTCCTTTGAGGAACCAGCAATCCGCCCTATGATTTCTAACGAGCTTTCTCACGATGCTTGCTGCGCGATCAATTAACAACTAAATCTGCCACCCCTTTAATTAACGGTTCGTTCACTTCGTTCCAATGGCAAACTTCGGTAAAAGAAACCTTTATGTCGAATCGTTACACAGAGCCAGGGAGCGTCCAAAGCTAAGAATTAAATCATTATATAACATGTCTTTACAAATAATCCTGATTACGTTTTAATCATATTATCTACGTACAAAGAACTTCAATTCTCATCGAACAAATGAGATTTCTTCTACGAAAATAATACTCGGTTTACTATGCTTTTAATACTATTGAGTTTGCTCTTCCGTGGAACAGATACTATTTTTGGTTATTTCTATCTGCAACAGAAACGGGGCCACCGTTGCGTCGAGATATCGATTCGTCATCGTTTGACATTTCTTAGCGTCGCCCGGTGTCCCTGAATTTTCTTCTCGCATACAATTGGACGTTCACGATTGTCGCGCAATTATGCACAGTCGAATTCGCCGGGACGATTTATTCCGAACGTCACGTCCGTTCCTTGGATTCGCTCGAGTTCCGCGGGAATAAATGGATTTCTCGATTCCTCTCTCCTGTCAATTATCCGCTTCGCACGCTTCCATCCCCTCGCTCGTGTTTTTGTCAATTTATTTTAAATCGGTCCTTCGAGATTTATTTAATTTAAGACAGCGACACAGGGGTAAGAGCTCTTAAGCTGGTTCTAAACTTGGAATAATAATGGAATGAGAAACGTTGAAGTTATCTACTGACACTTGCTGATGGGATCTCGATTTAATTCGTTCATGCGTCTCGCTGACTTATCAATCAATTTATTAGTGGGTCAGTTCATTCCGCGATGCTGGATCATGAATACCCGGCGAATCGGCAGCTCGGACAAACGAGCGAGCACTATAATACTGTGATTAATGCAGGGATTGATCGGCTGGCTGGGTTCAATTCTCGAAAATTACTTACCACCATTTTATTTCTCGGTTCCGGCGTAAAACGCTGCTTAATCTACCTACGTTCCGTAATTTCCGCTGGTTCTGACAAGACTCAGTCACGCAACAAGTAGAACGACCAAAAAGTCTCGCCCCAAAAACGCTTGATCCGCGTGAATCGATCCCCCAATTAACCAGATGTGTTTCCGTTTTGCAGAAAGCCTCGTTCGCGTGGTCCGAGGCCGGCGACGATGGCGGCGGAGGCGGTGGTGGCGGCGGGGCAGGCGGCGGTGGCGGGGGCGGAGGTACGGCAGGCACCGGAACCGGAAGCACGGGCCCGACCGCTGCCGGTGGCGGCGGTCTGGCCCATTGGGTCAGCGTGATGGCGGAACACATACACAACCCGCACTCGGCCACCGGAGTCGGTGGTGTCCACCATCAGCAGCAGTCACCCCCTCAGCCACCCTACCCGTGGAACAACGGCCTCTCCAGTGACGTGAGTACCTGAAATTCTGTGTGCATAAGCTTAATCGCGCGAAAAGAGTCATGACTGCATTATAGAACTGCTATTGATTCGTCCTAAAATTCTAAGGACGACTAAATATTAAAGAATCCATATTTGACGTGTAAGGAAGTAAAATTACATATTTAACACTCTGAACTGACATGTTTCTTAAATGTTAAGAAGCTACTATGAATATCCAGTGTATATTCTTATTCATTTGCGCAGTTCGTTTGGACTCAATGCAAGGTGAGAAAAGCGAACGGTTTCTTAACGATGTATTGGCTATACAGTCAATCCCAAAAGTTTATGCATTTTAAAAACGCATTTTTTAAAAAGAAATCAGACGTCGGAAGAACATTGCTAATAATAAAC